TTCTCCCAGCTGGGAGGTTTCATATAGACAGGCTTGAACCGTGCTCCTCGCTTGGCTGGGATTGCGGAGCTGAAACAGTGCAGGTGGAGATGTTTGCAGGATTTCACCCTCAGTATTTAGGACACCCTAAACCAAGGTACAGATTTGGTCAGGTTCTGCGGTGAACTGGCCCGGTCGGCGGGTTTAGAACCATAGGGTGGGCTTGGCGCTAGAGAAGCGTTAACGTGAACTAAAGCTTGCTCAGGGAGATGCACGGAGCGGGTAGCACGGAGTGCCGCTGCCTGTGGCCACGGCTCTCCTCTGGCTTTAGAATGTCGCATGCCGGTCTGTGTAAATTCTCGTAAGTGTACATGAACAATTGCAGATGATTACTGCACATTTGGTATCCACCAGAATTCCTTCACCTGTGCTGTGTGGCTGAAAACCGAAACAAAGAACGAGGTGATTTTCTGCCTGGTTTGTCTGGTGGGACGAGCAGTGCAGGAGCAGCCTGTGCCTGATCTTTACTTCTCGGTGTCTTTCTAGGGAGGTGCTTTAGGAACTAATCAAGGATGCTCTCAGTGCTCGTGTGAGCACGCAGGAGGCACGGCAGGCGGGTGAAGCTAACGTTGTTAAACCATGTCCCAGGCAGCAAACCGAACTCTTGGGGAAAGTTGAGTGACAGAATCCAAGAAGCTGAGTTTAAGTCGAGGTTCGTGATCGTAACATCCTGTTCAAACAATCACCAGGAAATTCGGCATCCTGGGATGCCGGTTTGGCTGCAGTATGTGAGTGTCACCAGCCCTGGTATGGCCTGTGCTGGCTGGCTTGGTCCTTTGGGAAGGATTTACTCAAAAGAGAAGGTTGCAGGGTAGGTTTGGGATATCTGGGTGAGGTTTGGATTAGTCCCAGGGGTGCCAGGTGGAGGATGGTCCCCGGAGCCCCCAGGGTGCCCTGCCTGGTGCCTGACATCCTCAGCCCTGAGTACCTCCTGCCAGGCCATTCTCATGCGGAATGTGCCACTGATTGACTCCTTAGAGCTGAGGAGGAGCTGGACAGCAGTTCCAGGGATGTGCAGGTATTCGGAGTTGCAGTCATGTGCTTGTTCACCACAAATACCTGAGTAAAAGCAGCAGAAAGCAATGGGGACACACATATGGAAGTAGGGTATTTAAAATGGTGCACTCCAAACAGCTGGAGGATCAGTGTGCCCTCCGTTGGATGTGTTGTTCAGCTTCATTGGGCTGGTTCAGCCTGGAGAAGAGAAAGCTCTGGGGAGACCTTAGAGCAGCTCCAGTGCCTAAAGGGGGTACAAGAAAACTGGAGAGGGGCTATGGACAAGAGCCTGCAGGGACAGGCCAAGGGGAATGGCTTTAACCTGCCAGAGGGGGGACTGAGATGAGCTCTTAGGCAGAAGCTCTTCCCTGTGAGGGTGCTGAGGTGCTGGCACAGGGTGCCCAGAGAAGCTGTGGCTGCCCCATCCCTGGCAGTGCTCAAGGCCAGGTTGGATGGGCTTTGAGTTTCTTGCCCTTTCTCCCCCATCACACTCCACCATTTGCTCCAGGGCAAACATTGCCACAGGAGCAAATTATTGCAAGCTGTGTGCAAAGGTTGGGGTGGAGCTGGCGGCACCATTGCTGGTGTGCTCCTGCCTTGTGACCACGGCAAACCTTTCCCCTGCCGGCATGGAGGGGGCTCTGCAGGCAGCCGCCCCCAGGAGCTGTATCTCGCCCCATCTCAGTCTATACACTCTGGAGGGCGGCTTGGGGCGGCCTCGGCACTGCAGATTAGGCAGGAGCAGGCGTATTCTGTTTTCTAGGAAAAAGGGGATTTTGTGGCCAGCTTTGTTAGGGCCATTGAAGACTTTCCTTTGTGTGTCTTTGCGTTTGAAGTTCGCAGGCTGGTGGCTGCAGACTCGCTGGATGTTCTGCTTACACAGATGACATTTTTAACCTTAGAGGTTTGTGCCATGTGGTCCAGGCCAGCCCACAGGAAGAGCCAGAAACTTCATGTAGGAGGGGTAACACTTCCTACCTCTGTGTAAACAGCAGTTCCCCCCAGATGGGAAAAGCCATCCCAGCTGTAGGGGAGGCAGGGGCCATATTCCCGCATGTGGAAGCAGGATGAGGATTTCCCACAGGCCTTGCTATCAGCCCTGCTGCTGCTCTGCTGGGTAGCACAGCTCTCCCTGGCACAGGAGGGATGCTGAGGGCAGGAATGCGTCTGCAGGGAGCAGCAGTGAGGAAAGGCTTGTCACTGGGAGCTGTGATGGAGCTGATGGAGAGGAAGGTGGCTGGTGTGGGGCTCAGGCCACAGAGCTGCTCATGGAAGATGAGGGGACGTCCCATGGGATGTGTTCCAACGGGCTCTAGCACGGAAGAATGCCAGAAGATGATTGTTCCCGCAGGCTGGGAAAGAGCCGCTGTGCTGTGTGTTCACTGCCATGGGGAGCCCAGAGCCTCAACTCAGCATTGCCACTGGCTTCAGCGAAAGGAAAAGCTCCTCCTGCTCCCTGGGTCACTGGGGCAGCTCACAACTGTGATGACTGCAGTGCTCAGCAGATGTTGCCGGTCCCAACTCAGCTGTGATGGTGACAAGAGGATGGCTTTGGTGACCAGCCCCGTGGATTGAAAGGCTGGCTGAGGGTGGCCAGCCTGTGGTGACAATGGCTCTTGCTGAACGACTTTTTTTTTGCAGAAACATTGGACATTGGACACCCCTGTCCATGTCCTGCTGCTCATCAGTGCTGGAGAGCCTGGGGGCTGATGGGGAGGGGGGCAGGTTGCTCTGGTCCCTGCCTGGCAGAGGCTGCCACCACCAGCTCTTGTTAAGGACACTGGGAATGCCTGTCAGGAGCCCACATACAAAATCCTTTTTAGAGGCACCTTTTTTCCCACCAGATGACACAGACTTTGACCATTAAGAAATGAACTCACAGCATCAATCTGTGGTCATGAGTAGCTGAAACAGGGAAAAGGGTCGGGATTTGTCTCAGTCTGCCCGGACCTGCTTTGTTTGGTACCAGGCCCTTTTCACAACCAGTGTGTGCAGTCCTGCTCTCCTGAATTAGATGATAACTGAGGGGAAGAGAGAGAAAGAGGCGTTTCAGTGGCGGGAGATTGATGGCAGGTCAGCGGGGCCAGCAGAGGCAGGAAGGTTTCCGTAGAAAGGGAGAGGAGCTGCAGATGCTTGGAGCGAGGGCTAATTCCACCCTAACTGTGCCCTGGCAACTCTGAGGAGCACAGCCTGCAAACGCATTGTGCTGTCCAGGTTTGGAAAACCAAACAGGAGTGAAATCTATTTGCTCTGGTTTAATCCCCTCGACGGAGTTGCAAATTAGCTTCAGGCTTCCATGGGGTGTGTTTATGTGAGCCGTAATCTCCAATGCTCCCCAAGGCGTACCCAGGCCACATTTCTCAGCTTCTCTCGCAGGGTTATTTTTGCACGTGCAGCCACATTTTCATGCTGGGATGCTGCAGGGATGGAGGGGTGGGGTGGGGGGAACCTGCTGTACAGGCCTGGGGCTGGCCCCAGGTGCATCCCGCAGGTTTCGGGTACTTTGGCCAACTCACTCCTTTTCCCTCCTGACATTGAGAGCTTATTTCAGTCACACCAGGACAATCATGTTCCTTTTCTTACTGTTAGATGGTTTTCTGCTGGATCTAGAAGTAATGAGCGAGCAGAGAAGATTATACCCCACGTGGAGCCCTGCTGCTTTGTCTTGGGCAGAGAGGTGCAGGCCTTTCCCCGTCCCCAGCACAGCCCTCCAAAGGTCTTGCTTCCGCACGGAAAAGCGGAAGAACCACCAGAAACTGACTGTGGAACCGGTGAGGCTTTGTCTGCCTGCTCCATGCTGCAAGGGGCACAGGCCCTGAAAACCTGGTGGGTAGAGGGGTAGCTTGGGCTCTGCCTGCTCTGGGTGTCCCCCCAATGGGAGCTCGAGGGGTAAGCCCCGGGGTAAGCTGGCCACTGGGGGTGACACCGGGTGCCGGTGGGTACCAGGGGATGAGGAACTCCGTGAGCCTGTGAGACACTGGGGCGTGCGGAGCGCCGGGATGCTGAGCCCCGGGGACAAGATGCGGGGTCCGGGGGGGTGACGTGGGGTACCGGACAATGCGGGGTCCGGGCCGTGCGGAGCAGCGGGGCAATGCAGGGGCGCCAGGGATGCGGAGTCCGGGGGGTGATGCTGAGCCCCGGGGGTGCGGACCCGAGGGGCGGGGGCCCGGCGGTGCGGTGCGGGCCCCGCGCTCCCCTCCCCCGCCGTGCGGCGCGGCGGGCGTGGAGAGGAGGAGGAGGAGGAGGAGGAGGAGGAGGGGCTGCCCAGCACGGGCAGGGTTAAAGCGCCATGTAACCGGAGCGCGGGGCTGTCGGGGGCCGGCCGGAGCGCGAGAGGCGGTGAGCGGCGGCGCGGCCCCGCTGGACGGCGCGTCCCGCCGCGGCGCAGGTGAGAGCGGGGACAGGGGGGAACCGGGGGAAACCGGGCCGGAGCCGCGGCGCATCCTCGTGGGCGGCTTTGTTGTACGCGGTGGTGGCGGCGGGGGACAATGGGGCGGGCGGGGTCGCGGCACCGGGGCACCGGAGGGCGGCGGCGGGAGCGCGCCCCGGGCCCGGCCGATCGCGCGGCCCCCCCCCTCCGTGCTCCCGGGGTCTCGCCCCTCCGGTCCGGGGCACCGGGCGGAGCGGCCCCGCCGCCACTTGTTGCCGGCGCTCGGTCCCGGGGCGCTGTTGGGGTCGGTACGGCCCCAGCCCCGGTCCCGGCTCCCGCCCGCTCCTCCGGCGCTCGTCGCAACTTTCGGGAGTTTCCCGCGGAGGCGCCGCTGCCGCGTACCCCGGGGGCGCGTCCCGGGGCTGTCACGGCCGGGCTGGGGGTACTCCCGGCGCCCCGGTACCGGGACGGGCACTGGGAGCGGGGCGGGGGCAGAGCCCGGAGCCGCAGGGGGAGCGCAGCGGAGCCTCGGGTCCCTTCAGTGAAGAGGCAAGCGGGGCTGCGGGGCGGGGAGGGCTCGGGGGGTGTTCCCCGGGCCGGGGCTCGGTTTGGGCTTCCGGGGACCAGGATGCGGCGGCAGCGCTGCCGGAGCCGAGCACCTTTTGTTTTCGGTTCTGGGGTCAAGGATCTGTCAGCGCATCTTCTCGCTTCTCTGTTCGCAGGAAAGCGGCTCCCGCCGGCCACTCGGACGTAAAGCGGCGCCTCCCCGGGGCGGAGCGGAGGGGGCGGCCGGGGCCCGGGCTCAGCTGCTGAGGCACCGGCCCAGCGGCAGGTACCGGCCCGGGGGAGCTCTACCGGCATCATCCTCCTCAGCCGGGTGCAGGGAGAGGCAAGGGAGGGGCACGAGTCCCTGGAGCTCCAGCCTGGGCCACGAGTCCCTGGAGCCGGGAGAGGAGCCGCGGGTGGGAGCAGGTCCTGGGGCTGCACCGGTCCCCGGGAAAAGGGGACACAGAAGGAGCTGAAACGTGCTGCCCCTGCAGCAGGGCTTGTGTTAACTGCCTCTTAACTGCTTCCAGTTTCCTAATTTTTAGTGAAATGAGGGGGAATGAGCCAAGGGGGCACCCTGGGGAAGATGGGGGGAGGCTGAGCCCCCACTCTGCAGAGGTACTTTATCGCTCTCTACAACTACCTGAAAGGAGGATGGAGCCAGGAGTCTCTCAGGTATGAGACTAGAGGAAATGGCCTCAAGCTGCACCAAGGGAGGTTCAGACTGGAGATAGGAACAATTCCTTCCCCAGAGGTGCTCGGGCATTGAAACAGGCTGCCCAGGGCAGTGTTGCAGTTACCATCTCTGGAAGTGTTCCCACACCATGTAGATGAGGCCCTCAGTGCCATGGGTTAGTGGTGGCCTTGGCAATGCTGTGGAACGGCTGGTTGTGATGATCTTAAAGGTTGATTCTAGGATTCTCCAGGGCCAGGCAGGGGGCATGGGGACAGCGAGGTGTCATTGTCATCACTGTGTCCTCTTGTGCAGGGGAAGGATGCAGCAGTAACGGCTCTGGACAGGACCTGCCACGGCTGAGACCCTCCCGGCCGGCGCGGAGCCCCCACTGCCCCCAGCCCTGCCCGCAGCACCCCCGGCCCGGCCGCTCCACACCGGGCACGTCCCGGGGCAGGGGCTCGGGGGAGCCGGCGTGGCCCCTGGCAGCGCGACGAGGCCGAGATGAGCATGGTAAAGAGCCTAGAGCGGCTGGAGCAGCGGCTGGCTGTGATGGTGGCTGCCCAGGAGACTCCTCAGGCCTGGTCTTCACGGGGAGAGGAGGGGCCGGTTTGTTTTTTGTTTCTTTTCTTTCATCCGAGCTCGGCGGCTGAGCCCGGGGGTGGCCGCGCAGCGCTGGGGCAGGGGGGCAGGAGAGGAAACAGGGGGAAATGGAGGGAAGTGCGGGAGCGCGGGAGAGGGGCCAGGCACAGGAAACGGGCAGGGGAGGGGAGAGCCTGCCCTTCTTAATGAGCCAAAATGGGCTCCCTTTCTTGCTGAGCTGCCAGCCCAGCAGCTCTTTTCTTCCCGGGATTAGAGGGAAATGCTCGGTTTGGGGAGAGTTAAAGGGCGTTTGTGTGGGGGACAGCCCTGAGCCAGCCCGGAGGGAGCGAGCCCTGGCCATTGGGGTCCTTTATTTCTTTTTGTTATTCAAACAGGGCCTGGGTGATGGCTGCCATCCCAGCCATCCCGTAAAACTTCCAGCCTTTTGATATGCATGCCCCTGTCTGGAGGCAAAGTCCGGCGGTCTCCCTGCGAGCTCCCCACCTACCCGGAACAGCACCTGATAAGGGCCAGGCTGTTTTCTCAAGAAGGAAAATGAAAGTGGGCCCAGCCCCGGGCTGAGGAACAGCCCTGGGTCAGGGGCAGCAGGGTTCAGGGCAGCGGGGTCCTGAGGCATGGTCTGCAGGGCAGAATGTGATGCCTGGTAGGTGAGAGCAGCCCCCCTGCCCGCTCTGCCTGCACTGGGGCGCGGGCTGCTCCGCAGGCTGGCTCTCGAAGCAGTTAATGCTGTGGCATGGTCCTTTAACCAGTTTGGCAAACCTTAAAGAAACTGGTATTGCAAAACTAGGGCGGGATCCGGAGTCAGCGGGTTCATTGTCTCGGTGGGGTACCGCTGCAGGGCACATCCCGGGCACCAGGCAGAGCCGTGCCGCCGCTAGCACCGGTCTCTTGGGGAGCTCAGAGCATCCGAGCTGGAATCCTGCACGGTTCGAGTCTTGGTGGGTTCCCGTAGGAAGCGTGCGGCTGCAGCGCTCGCCTGTGTGTGTGCAGTGCATTGAGCAGTGCAGACGCTGCGGTGCTGGTTTTCTCCTCCCGTGAGACACAACATGTGAGGGGAGTGCTCTGGTTCTTATTATTTTCGCAATGCCCTGTGCACATGTTGGTGTGCGAGGGGAGGCGAGGACAAAGAGCTGAGCCTCCCTCCCGAGCGTGGTGAGGCTTGTAGCGATGGCGGCTCCAGGGGGTCAGTGGGAAGGACAGCATGGGCCTGGGAATGCAGCTTCCTTCCTTGGTGCTAAAGCAGCATCAGGAGGAGAAGGGGATAGGAGTTGCAGTCCCGCTGTCCCGACGTAGGTGCTTGTGAGAGCGAGACTTTAGCTTTGCAGTTTGGGTCTGGTGTGATGTGATGTTCCCTTTCCTGCTTGCTGTCTGAGGATGGTGGTGGGATGTCCTCAAGTGATGCGGGGTGGTGCAGCTGGAGAAGCGCACGGTGTGATGCTCCCGTGGGTGCACTGCTTGCTTTAGAATTGGCAGAAAGAGCTCCCGGAGCATGCGGCAAAGCTGAGCTGGGCACAGCTGGTGCTCGGTCCTGGCTGCGTGCCTCGGGGAGACCTGGCTGCTGTGTCACCAGCATCACCAGTGCAGGGCTGGTGGGGATGTATCACTGCATTGCCAGCCAGGGCACACCGGGCAGCCCCAGGCTGAGAAAGGAAAAAGCCATTTTGAGGTGTGTTTGAATGTCCTGGGCGGGCTCTGGCTCCTGTCCTCCATGGGTCTTGCCAGGCTCACGCTGCCCCATCTTCTATCCTCAGCCTCTCCTCTGGGTCCTGCTCACGCTAAGGGAGCGGCGCATCCTCTCGCACCTCGCTGTGTGGGTTCCCAAGGGAGATTCTCTGTATTTTGGTGGGGTTGTTCATGGCAGCACTGCCGCTGGTGAGGGTTGCTGCTGCACCGCAGCCTGGAGAAGGGAGCAGAGCCCGGAGGGGCTGACCTGCCTGTGCTGCACCGCATTGGGAGCATCTGGGGCCAGGACCGGCTGCCCAAGCCAGGGCAGCCCGGCGAGTCCAGGCAGCTCCCAGGAATTGTTCACTGGCTCTGGAGCAGATGTGCTGCAGCCGTGGGATTTCTGCACACAGCTGTGGGGCTCGGAGCACTTTTACACTCCTGCTGGTGCCGTTCCTCTTGTCCCTTTGTTGGGCAGATGTGTGTGGGGCGCAGGCAGGATGTGCACCGGGGGCTCTGGCTATGGAGGTGGGTGCTGGTCACCTGCCTTCCTTCATGTCTGGGTGTTAGCAGGGTTGTAAGGCTGCCTTTGGCATCTGGAACATCAGACCCCGACTGTTCTTTGTTTGCCAGAGGTGCTGACAGACATCTCGAAGCAGATCTCAATTGTTAGGGAAGCAGTTGGAGGCGATGCTGAGTGAGAGCGGTGGGAGGGGGCCAGGGCTGGAGCCTGGGGTCTCTCTGGGGCTGGGGGGGATTGGTTGTGTCTGGTTCCAAACAGGGCTTTGGATGGGTTAAGCCTGGCTTGCTCCTTGCTCGCTGAGCTGCGTGCGCCTGCAGTGCCGGTGCTGGCGGAGGGGCAAGTTGCAGCACAGACCCATAGCCCAGCAATGAGGCAGCTTCGTTAGCGCGGTCCCGGGTGCCTCTGGGAGAGCCTGGGAGCTTCCACTTCCGAAAACAGGATCCAGGGAGGGCAGAGGCCCCTGGGTGCCGGTGAGGTGCCGGGGACACGTGGCCGGGCTCTGCCTGCGCTGCAGCAGCCCCCGGTGCAGGGGACACCGGCACAAGCGGGCGCTGCCGGTGCCGTGGGTGCAGACCCCTGCCCTGCCCTGCCCCGGGTGAGGCCAGGGAAGGGGCAGGAGGAGTTTTCTCCCTTTGGGGGAGTTCAGGTCGCTGCAGGCGCCAGGACTTTGCCCCCCATGGCGAGCTCTGCTGTGTCCTGAGCGCCCGCCTGCTGCGGGGTGCAGGGCACCACGGGGGTGGTGGATGTGGCTCGTTTGCTGGAGCCCGTGGACCCTCAGAGCCCCCGCGTAGCTCCCAGGGCCGCTGCGGATATGGCGCCAGTGAGACCCCTCCACAAAGGGCAGAAGTTGTGGCTGGATTGCAGCAGGGGCTCTGCCTGCCCCGGGGCTTTCTGCAGTCTCCATTTCCTTTCTGCTCTGGCTTCCACAGGCGACCATGAGGAAGGAGAGCAGCCACGGCCAGGAGGAGGCAGACTGCAGGGCAGAGCTGATCCTCCTCAACGGGGCCTGTACCAGTCCCACCAGTAACGCCCCCTCCATCATACGGGAGACAAACAGGAAGCCCAGCACTCCAGGTGAGTCTCGACGCGCCCGGGGTGCCCAGGGACACACAGGGATACGTGAAACCAGGGATGTCCCAGGCACTATCCCGGGGTTGCAGCACAGCGTCCAGGTTCCCTCCATGACTCCGCTGGGTCTTTTCTTCCCGGCTGCGCATCCACGAGTCCAGGCTGCAGCAACAGCAGTGGTTGTGGAAGGGTGCCACGCTGGGATGCTGGCTCTGCCCCTTGATGGTTGGAGCCCTTGGAGTAAGGGAGTCCTGGGTCATGGTCCCCACATCCCACCTCTTGTATTCATAAGGTCCTGCTTTTAAAGTGGTGACAAGCCCTGAATAGCAGGAGTAAGGTTTGCTTATGGCTCAGGAACAAAAAGGCGCATAAGAAGGTCCCTCCCAGCCTGGGTGCAGGTGGGGGATCTGGGACTGCTGCTCTTGGCAGCCCCGCGATGGGCAGCCTCGGGGATGCTGCTGCTTGTCTTCTGCTCTCAGCCTCATTTCTCCAGGGGGAGGCTTTGGTCTCTTCAAGTCCCGGTGTGCTGCCCGGAGCAGTGGGGGTTTGGGGTGTGCTGGGCATGGCTGGGGAGGCTCATGGAGCCTGAGGCTGCTCTTGTCCCTGTGCAGATGCTGCAGGCCTGGGGCTGCCATCGCTGGAGAGCAACAACAAGGTGAGCAAGGGAGACACGGCCAAGGAGGAGCAGGGCCTGTCCTGGCCGCTGGCTCTGGCTGAGGTGCAGGAGGCAAGTGCTCAGCAGGACCCTGGCGCCAGGGCTCTGTGTGGGGACCCTCGCCCGTCCCCCCTGGGCTATGGGAGCAGCCCAATGGCAGATGTGATATTCATTCACAAGCAGAATATTTGTTTGCATTGTTCAGTTCCTGCTGTGCTTTATGCCCCAGCAGCAGTGTGGTGGTGGGGGTGATGCAGCGATGCCCATGACGTGTTGCAGCAATGTAATCGCTGTTATGCTGATATTGTCTTCAGTTGATGGACAGAAGCATCTCACCCCCTCCTCAGGGTGGCCTGCTTTTGCCTGCTTTGGGGCTGGGTCCCAGTTTTGTGTTGAGTAGGTTGAAAAACCCCCAGGGGATTTTCACTTGCAAAATCTCCTCTTGTGCTGAAGCTCTCTTGTGCTGCATGCTGGAAACCCCCTTGGGTTGTGCTGTTTGGAAACTGCAGCTCCTGAGCCGTAGGGAAAGGGCTGCCCTGGTGCCTCTGCAGGGCTGGGGCAGGAGGGAGGTGGAGGAGGATACAGTCAAGGATGCACATGATGGCTGGAAACAAAGGTGATGCCATCAGCTGCTGGTGGGATGCTCTCCCAGTGCTGGGGGCTGCAGCAGTGAGTGCTCCTGAGCACCTTACCATACCATCAGCAGAGATGCTGTGAAGTGCAGGGGCTCAGCCCAAGGGGCTTCCCACAGCTGCCTGTGCTCCTCTCGCATTCGCCATCCATCCCCAGGGCCCTGGTGCTGCCGGTGCCAGCCCCAAGGGGCACGGGCTGGGGGAAGGCATCTGTGCCACGTCCACACCACGTCCTCTGCTCTGGTTGCAGATGCGGCCCCGGGGCAGCGCGGGCTGGGAGAGCAGCCTCCGGCAGAAGCCCCCCGTGCGCCTCATCTTCCAGGCAGGGCAGACCCGCCAGGAGATGAAGATCAAGGAAACCAACAGTGTGGAGCCCCCCCGGGACCTGCCCACCCCACTGCGGGTGAGGGCTCGTGGGGCTGGGGCTCCCCTGGGATCGGGAGACCCACACTGCTGCCGTGCCCTGCCCAAGGCTTCAGGCACGCTCTGTGCCTCAGTTTCCCCTGTGCAGCGCGGGGGGTGTGGGCTGCTGCTTGCCACTGCTGTGAACAGGGTGCTTTGGGGTGAACTGGGGAGAGGAAAAGGGAAGGGAGCAAGCGCTGCACTGTTTTCTGTGTGTCTTGAGAGCAGAAACAGAGCAGTTCTCCTTCAGGTGCCCCAGTTCAGGGCCTTTCCCTCTATTCCTGGTGCCCCCCTTTCACAAGTTCCCCCTCTCTGATACGTGGCTGGGGGTGACGTGGGCCAGGTTTCTGCTCCCCTTCCCCTCTCTCTGCGCTCACACTCTCCTGCTCCACCATGCAGAGCTCCAAGCGGCGCCAGTCCACACCTATCTCCATCCCCACCATCGACCTCACGGAGGAGGACTCCCGGGACTCATCCCAGAGCAGCAGCACGCTCTCTGGCAGCAGCTCCCAGGAGGGCCAGAACGGCTCCACTGAGCTGGGGACTGAGGAGACCGAGAGCAGGGACGCGGGGATGGCACTGGAGTACCAGGTACGGATGGGTCCCGCTCTGCTCCTGCACCGGGGATGCTGCAGCTTCTCCTGCCTCCCTTCCCCTGCCTGCCCCTCCCTGTGTGCCCAGGCTGTGATGATGCCCTGGGCTCTGCTCCGGGGCTGCAGGTGGGTGCTGTGCAGAGACCGGCCCTGCCCGTGCTGCCTGTGGGGCTGGAAAAGGCTCCGAGGGCCCCGGAGACGCGCGCGTGGCACACGCCGTGCCCCGCCGAGACACGCAGTTGCATGTGCAGGAAACGTTTCTGGGGGGGATGCTGGGTTGGAGCGGAGCTGCTGGAGCTGCAGAGAGTGATTCAGTGCCTGCAGGCAGCGGGGCAGGGCCCCGGCCTTGCAGGAATTGGGCAACTGCATCTTGCTGCATAACTGGGTGCCTGACTGGGGAATAAGGCCGGGAAGGAGGGCTCTGCAGGTCAAGGTGACTGCTCCTGCGTGGGGAGCATGGTCCTGCCGTGGTCCCTGCCAGGCTGCCTGATGGAGGCCCTTGGCACGGTCATGCCAAAATTCCCAGCTCTCCCTTTTGTTGTCTCTGTTTTGCCCTGCCCCATTTCCTGCTCTCCCCTGTGGGTGTCCTGTCCCCGGGGTGCAGCTGGATGGGCTGAGCCGTGAGCCCCATGAAGGGGCTGCCCTGTGCCAAGGAGCAACCTCAGAGCAAAGCCCTCCCTGCAGCAGCAGGATACGTGCATCCCTGTGTGCTTCCTGCATCCCTTGGCCTGGGCAGCGGCGTGCAGTGAGCTGGGTTCTCCCAGACAAACGCGGCTGTGATGGGCAATGGGACTGGGAGGAGTGGGGTGCTGGTGCTGGTAGCGGTGCCGAGGAGGCTGTGCAGGATGCAGCACGCACTGCCCTGTGCCAGGCACTGCCAATGCTCCTGCAAGACCTTCCTGCAGGGTGCAGGGCTGGCTCTGGTGCTGCCGGGGTGTGCTCTGCTCTTCTCCTGAGGCAGGGGATGCAGCTCCCGTGCATCCTGTGCAGAGGTTCGCAGGTGACCGGTCATGGGCACACGCGGTGGAGCAGCAGCGTGGGGTGCTCTGTGGCCATGTTCCGGGGCTCTCTGCCACAGCTGCTTGGACAAAGCAGGGAGCTCACTGTGGCTGATCCGTGTTGTCCTCTTGCCTTCAGGACGGGAAGGATTTTGGGATCGGGGAGCTCGTCTGGGGAAAGATCAAGGGTTTCTCCTGGTGGCCGGCGATCGTCGTCTCCTACAGAGCCACGGCCAAGCGCCCGGCGGCCTCGGGCATGCGCTGGGTGCAGTGGTTCGGGGATGGGAAGTTCTCTGAGGTGAGCTCCTGCCTGTGCCTGCCTTCACCCGGGCTGGAGCCCTCATCCCTGCCCAGCCCTGCTGCCTGCCCTGCTCCCGGGGCTGCCTCGGGTCTGTGCGCCCAGCTGCAGCCTCCCTTGGCGGGGGCCCCGGTGGCTCCAGTGACAGCAGCCTGGGTGCCACAGGCTGGTGACAGGACCCAGCAATGGGAACGTCCCCGGGGTGCAGGAGGGAGGGAAGCGCCGTGCCCGCAGAGGTGCGGTGCCGGCAGAGGCTGCGCGCAGCTCGTTCCATGTGTGCAGCGCTGCCGCTGCTCATCCCCTCTGCGGCTGATGCTGAGCATCCTCCCATGGCCCCAGAGCGCTGCCGCTGCTCATCCCCTCTGCGGCTGATGCTGAGCATCCTCCCATGGCCCCAGAGCGCTGCCGCTGCTCATCCCCTCTGCGGCTGATGCTGAGCATCCTCCCATGGCCCCAGGGCGCAGACAAAGCCCTGGGCTGTGGTGTGAGCCGTGCTGGGCGGGCAGTGCCGCAGGGCTGGGTGTGCGGCACGGGGTGCATGGTGCCACAGGGACGTGCCCGTGCCCGGTGTGAGCTCTTGTTGCTGTCCCGCAGGTGTCTGCAGACAAGCTGATGGGGCTCGTGGCCTTTAGGCAGCATTTCAATCTGTCCACGTTCAACAAGCTGGTCTCCTACCGCCGAGCCGTGTACCATGCACTGGAGGTAACCGCAGCAGAGCTGGGGCCGGGGGAAGGAAGGTGCCCAGTGAAGCAGCTGGGGCTGGGCTGTCCCTGCTCCCATCAGATGGGGCTGATGGAGGCAGCCGGCTCATGGCAGGGAGGGCAGGCACAGGAGGAGGGTGCCTGGGAGCATTCCCAGCACTGGAATGCAACAGCTGCTGTTGTGCCGAGCCCTGTGCACGTGTGTGTGATGGGGAGAGGGCTGGGGACATGGCCCTGCCAGGCACGTGGGCCGTGCAGCTGCAGCCTGGCTGCTCCATGCATTGGGACCAGCCCCTGTCCCACGGTGTCCCTGGTGTCCTCTGCTGTCACATGGTATTCCATGGTGTCCCATGGTGTCCCATGGTGTCCTCTGCTGTCCCATGGTATTCCATGGTGTCATGTGGTGTCCTCTGCTGTCCCATGATGTTCCGTGGTGTCCTCTGCTGTCCCACGGTATTCCATGGTGTCCCATGGTGTCCCGTGGTGTCCTCTGCTGTCCCACGGTATTCCATGGTGTCCCATGATGTCCCGTGGTGTCCTCTGCTGTCCCACGGTATTCCATGGTGTCCCATGGTGTCCTCTCCTGTCCCATGGTGTCCCGTGGTGTCCCACAAGGTCCCTCCTCTTGGCAGGTTGCCCGGAGCCGCTCGGGAAAGACGTTTTCCACAGCCCCTGGGGAGTCCCTGGAGGAGCAGCTGAAGCCCATGATTGACTGGGCACTCACTGGCTTCAAACCCCTGGGCTTCAAGGGGCTGCGGCCGCCCAAAGCCTCAGGTGAGGAGGTGCCGTGGGCCGGGCACGGGGACGGCGCTGGCATTGCTGAGCCTGCTGGCTGGGTCCCCAGGTGACCCGGGGGCTCCTCAGTGTGGTCCCTCCCAGCAGCATTGCCGGAAGCCAGAGGAAAGCACCTCAAAGCCATCGCTCCTGGAAGTCAAAGACCAGGATGAGGCTCGAGCCGCGCTGGGGAGCTGCGGTGCTGTCGCCCGGTGCCCTGGGATGCTCCCAGGCCTGGAGGCTTGTCCCCAAGGAGCCACCTTTGCCTTGCAGAGAACGGGGTCCTGAGGAACGGCACGGAGGAGGTGCTGTCCCTCGAGCAGTGTCCCCCCACCAAGAGGCTGAAGACCAACCTCTGCACCGGCGGCAAGGAGCAGCGCGTGGAGGAGGAGCAAACCCGAGGTGCGCAGCGGGGAGAGCTGGGGGGCACCGTGCGCCCTGTGGCACTGGGGAACCCCTTGGGAAGGGGCTGGGCTCTTCCCCTGGGACGTGAGCTTGGCTTCCAAAGGCAGAAGCCTTTATGGGCCTTACAAGGCACCAGCAAACCCAGCTGCGAGACACAGGCTGGGCTCCGTTGGTGGCTTAGCTTGGAAATGACCTTAGAGCTCTAGTTCTGGTGTGTCCGGCAGAGAAGGACATGGGGTTTGCACCAGAATTCCTGACATGCCTTTGCTGCACAATGCCCAGCGGAGCGGCAGCAGTGTTAAGAAAGAAGGCATCTGTATGTAGGGGGTTTGTTCCTTGCTTAAGGGCTCATAAAGACATGCATTTTGTATTTCCTAAAGAGCAAATGGTGTCGGAAGTTACGAACAACAGCGGGAGCCTCGAAGGTAACGGATGGTCCTCCCTTGGGAAAGGTGTGGGGTGATGGGCAAAGATCTTTATGGCTCCAAGTGGGAAGGGGGGAACGTGCCATTGCTGCACGGTGCTGGGGTGCCCGGTGCCAATCCCCCCTGTGGGGCCTGCTCCTGGGGGAGCCTGTGCCACCTCCAGACCTGTGCTTGTCTGCGGCACAGGGCAGGGGTTCTGCTCCCCAGCCCAGGCTCCCTGCCCTGCCCCGGGCTCAGCAGAGCTCTGTCCGTCCCTGTCCCGCAGAGAGCTGCTTGTCCTGCGGGAGGAGGAACCCGGCCACCTTCCACCCGCTGTTCGAGGGGGGGCTCTGCCAGACCTGCAGGGTAAGTGCTGGCAGGACGGGTGCAGGATCCAGCCCTGCTGCACGGCGCGGGAGGGGGTGACCCTGCCAAGTCCTGGCTCTGCTGTGTCCACCATGGGGCTGTCCCATGCCGTGTCTCCACTCGAAGCACCGAGGATGGGCATCCTCAAGCTCTCGCTGTGCATCTGAGATGGAGCAACTCCAGTCTCCCTTCACGCTCTGATGACAGATCCTGATCCCTTTGTACTTCTCCCGGTTCTCCTTTCGCTAGGATAGATTCCTGGAGCTCTTCTACATGTACGACGAGGACGGTTACCAGTCCTACTGCACCGTGTGCTGCGAGGGCAAGGAGCTGCTGCTCTGCAGCAATGCTGGCTGCTACAGGTGGGTCCTGGCTGTTCCCTGGGCTGAGCTCCCAGCACTGCTCCTGGGAGCCGCAGGGAAGCGGGGTCGTGTGTGAGCCTGGGCAAGGTGCTGGTGCTGGCTGCGGTGCAGCACGTCCCGGCGCAGCCTCCCCAGCCCTGCTGAGCCAGGCTTCACCTGAATAACAACCCCCGGGAGGCTTCGTGTCAGCATCCCTGGAACCTGGACAAACCTCCTGCAAAACGTGGGGGGGGCTCCAGAGCTTGGCAGGGGAGACCCCAGGAGAGGCTGGGCTGAGCCGGAGGGACCCTGGAGGTGATGGGCACAAGCTGCTCTGGTTTGGGCAGGTGCTTCTGCGTGGAGTGCCTGGAGGTGCTGGTGGGCCGAGGGACGTCGGCCAAGGCGAAAGAGCAGGAGCCCTGGAACTGCTACATGTGCCAGCCCCAGAGGAGCTATGGGGTGCTGCAGCGCCGGCAGGACTGGAACACGCGCCTGCAGGACTTCTTCACCAGTGACAAGGGGCAGGAATATGTAAGGGCTGCGGCCACGGGAGCCCAGAGCGCTGGGAATGGTGGGGAGGCTCGGAATTCCTCATCCCTCTGCCTTGGCCCCGCTCCTCCACCTTCACCAAGGGTGGTGCTGGGCTCTCGGCCATGCAGATGCTCCCCTGAAGGCAGAGGTGATGCTTGTATTGCAGCACTGGGGCTTCATTGCTGGCTTCGTTGCAGGCTGCACCCAAAATCTATCCGATGGTCCCACCGGCGAAGAGGAGACCCATTCGAGTGCTCTCTTTGTTCGCTGGCATAGCCACAGGTGAGCGCTGGAAGAGCAGCACCGCACATGGGGGGGATCAGCTTCATGGCCTCAAACCCGTCTCTGAAGCCTTGGTGGAGAGAAGGAGGAGCAGGGCAGGGGGATCCCCGCCAGGAGGGCAGGGGCTCCCATTCCTGCTGGATAGGGCTGTGGAGGAGGGGGGCCATGGGAATTGCTCAGAGGTTCCTGCTGTGCCGGGTGCTGGGTTCGCTGGGAAGCGAGGGCTGTGGGAGCGCTGGCAGCACTGGTTTGACTCCGCTCTGGAATTGTGCTTCCCGGGTTTCCCAAGCCTGCTGCAGGAATGGGTCACAAAAGTGGTTTGCTGTCCCACGAGCCAGCCCTGTGTGACTGCCCCCTCCTAGGACACGCGGGAACGGCCGCGTCGAGCGTCTCTGCTGACGAAGGAGACCGCGAGACTAAAGAGAGCAGTGCAGCCTCAGACATCTGTCCCTTGGCAGGGTACCTGGTGCTGAAGGACTTGGGCATCCAAGTGGAGAAGTACATCGCCTCGGAGATCTGCGAAGACCCCATTGCCGTGGGCACCATGCGGCACGAGGGCAACATCACCTACGTGCACGATGTCAGGAACATAACCAAGAGAAACGTGAGCTGGGCAACGTGGCGCCATGGCCGCGGGGGCTCACCCCAGCACCCCTGGGACAGGATTTCCCCCTGCCCTGTCCAGGAGGAGGGAGCCACTTCCCTGGTGTCTCCTAACGGGATCTGTCCACACTAGATCGAGGAGTGGGGTCCTTTTGACCTGGTGATCGGTGGGAGCCCCTGCAATGACATCTCCCTTGTCAACCCCACCAGGAAGGGGCTCTATGGTAAGGCTGCTTTGCCTCTGCAGGGCTGGGCTTCCTTCCCTGGGGACGTTCCTGGGGTTCGGAGCCACCTTAAAGCGCAGGGAAGAGGTTCAGCCCCTGTCTGCCTTGGTGGTGGCTCCCCTGCGAGCTGCAGCCCTTGGGGTGGCACCTGCTGAGCACAGGCTGTGGCCGTGCTGGTGGGGAGGAGGCAGCCAGGGCCCCCAGACCCGTGCCCCCCACGCCGCAGCAGATCCCAGCCTGCAGCTCCTTTCTCCCTTGCAGAAGGGACCGGGAGGCTGTTCTTTGAGTTCTACCACCTGCTCAACTACGCCCGCCCCAAGGCGGGAGAGGAGCGTCCCTTCTTCTGGATGTTTGAGAACGTGGTGGCCATGAGGGTCAATGACAAGCGGGACATCTCTCGGTTCCTGGAGGTAGGGATTGTGGCTGCAGGAAGGGCTCTGAGCCGGAGACACCTCCCGTGCCCTGCAGGCTGTGCTGAGCCGTGTGGGGCTGGCTCTGGTTTCCTGTGGCCCCTGCCTGATGCGCACCCCAGGAATCAAGCTTTCATCCTTGGCTCTGGGTCTCCTGGGGCTTGCAGCAGGATGACCCCAGCACTGGCTCCCTGGGGCAGGCTCTTGCTTTGCAGAAAGATCTGCTCAGGGCAGTGCCTGCTCTCTTATTTCTAGGGAGAGGGAGGTCAGGGCCTGGAGAGGACTTTTAGCTGGGCTGGCCATGGCTATGGTGTGGGAGCCCATGGGGCCAACCAGCCCGTGCTCTGGTGTGGAGCAGGAGTCTGGGGGGCTACCTCCTTAGGAGGACTTGGTGTTCACTGCTGGTGCTGTGCAGTGGAGAGCGGCTCCATGCAGGAGCGGGCTGAGCCCAAGCCTCCTCTAACCTTGATTTTTGCATGTCTTTTGCAGTGTAACCCAGTTATGATTGATGCTATCAAGATATCAGCTGCCCACCGAGCGCGCTATTTCTGGGGTAACCTTCCGGGGATGAACAGGTAATGAACCCTTCGCTGTCTGTTTGACTCTCGCTGCAGCTTTGCTCTGTTTCATGGTGCTTGTGTGGCTCTTCCCTCCTTGGCCCTGAGCCCAGCTCCCGGGAGCTGAAGAGCTGCAGTTCCCGTCTGGTGCAGTTCCCTGCAGTGATGTGCACATGATAATGTGCTTGTTAATGAGCAGGGATGAGACCGGGAAAAGCAGCAGCATCCTCTGCCCCGGACCTGGAGCCTGCGGAGGGAGAAGCGATGGGGTCAGCGCAGGATGCTGTGTGGTGTGTTTAGCTTGGGGTTATACATGATACACACATCCAGCAGCCTTTGTTTAAGATGCAAGCTAATGTGGGGGTGCTGTAGGGCAGCCCCATGCCCAGTGAGTGCTGTGTGGGGTTTGCAGGGGCAGGGGATGAACCCCAGCAGCCTCCTTGGCCAGGGCTGCTCGGTCCAGTGTGGTGCCTTAGGGAAGCTCCTCCAGGCTTTGTGCATGCCTCGGCAGCACCCTGAATTGATGGTAAAACACAGCAGGAGGACTTGGAGTAGAGTAGAATTCTACTGCTACCAGTCCTGTGCACCAGATACTCCTAGCAACAAAACCTGGAGATTTCACCAGGGAATGCCTCAGCCAAGAAAGAGATGGGGTTTAAATACTCCAGATTGTTTGTATTTAAATTGCCAGTATTTCTTGGAGTTCAAACTAATTAAAGCTGAGCGAGAGGCATGCAGGAATTTGAAAGTGAAATAGCAATTACCGAGCCTTTGTCATGTGAAATGGCACTTGGAGAGCCTTCCTCTGATGGGAGCCCGGGGATGAGCTGTCCCGGGGCGATGCTTGTGGAGGTGCCTTGCTGAGCAGAGTGGGCAGAGGTGTGAGTTCCTGGCTCCGTGTGGCTCCTGGGACAGCGTTGTACTGACCTCAGCCACGGCAGGGGCTGCGTGAGGACATGGCCATGGAGCTGGGGGGAGGAATTTTCCATTGTCTTTAGCGTTTGCTTTTCTCTCACCATGCTCGGTGCTGAGTCCTGGCTGGAGATTGCTGGTGGCTCTTGGGTTTGTTTTTCCTTTTATTTCTCCTAATCCAGCTTTAAAATGGAGCCAGTGTGGGGGGGTCCCAACCCCTGCCAGCATCTCCCTCCAACTGGGAGCTCTGCTGGGGGGTGTTCCGAGGGGCATCAGCCGCTGGGTGCACTGGTGGTGGTGGGCTGGGGCCCTGGGGCAGCTCCTGGACAGCTGTGCTTCTGTGCCCAGGCAGATGTGCTTGCACGGCTACACGAGGGGGGAGTTGGTTTGTCTGTGGCCATGGGAGCGGGGCTGCAGGTGTGGGCTCTGCTCCGCTGCCCCTGGGCAAGTGCCTCTGGCTCCGGGCAGAGCAGGAAAGACTGCATCACCTTTGCCAGATGCTTTGGGTGGAAGCAATGCACATTCGCTTGCTGCCACTCTGGGAAAGGAAATCGGAGCTGGTGGGGAGCACTGCCACACTGCGGAGGAGCTTCTGCTGAGCAAGACTAAAACCCAGGCCGGGACTCGGGATGCGGGATGGACGCAGATGGGACAGAGATGCTGTGTCCTGGCTGCATCTGATGGGCACCGGCGCAGTCACCAAAGCTCACCCACCCTCCTCTGCTCTGCTCCACAGGATCTTCGTCTTCCCCCTCCACTACACCGACGTCTCCAACATGGGCCGCGGTGCTCGCCAGAAGCTGCTGCGGTCGTGGAGCGTCCCCGTCATCCAGCACCTCTTCTCCCCGCTCAAGGATTACTTCGCCTGCGAATAGCCAGCCGAGCAGCCCTCGTCTCTCTGGTAAAGATGCACAGCTCGGCTGGAGGCGGGAGAGGGACGGGCCCATCCCTGCTCTTCCCTCCTGCAGGGAGGCAGCCTGGCCCCGCAGGGAGAGCCGAGGAAATGTCTTTAACCAAAGAACCTGGCAGGGTAACTTTTCTTGAAAGGGACTGATGGCAGTGATAGAACACCCGGACAAAAGAGCTTTAATTGCCCAGCGCAGGAAGCTCTGTGCATGGCTGAGCCCATGGGAAGTCTCCTCCAGAGCATTAAATACCCCGGTTTAGCCTAGAGCTGAAACTCACAACTTGCTGAGCAGTGAGCACGGAGGCAGCTGCCGAGGTGCTGCGGGCAGATGTGAACTGCAGCGAGTTACTGCTTCTGACCAAACAAAACCTCTCCTGAAGCAACTGCCAAAGCCCCCCCCGGCTGTGGCAGGAGGTGTAAGGGACCCTGCTCAGGTACATACACTGAACACGCAGGATACACACACCAAATCGGTTTTATTCTTTTTTTTGATAAATTTTTGTGTTGTTTAATGTCTATTGCTGCTTTACGGCATTACATATGAATGTGGAGATTCCTAGACCTGAATGTAGCTGAAACTGAACTGTGAGGTGATAGAATTACTTTTCTAGCTAGAACTAAAGGAATACTGTTTTGTACGTTTGGCTGTAGTTTACAAATACTCACTACTTCCTTTTTTAAAGCATCTACAACCTTTTCCTTCCATTTTAAAAATCCTGCTGAGTGCTTTGAAAGCTTACACAGGAATTGGAGCAGGGAGGATTTGAGCTCCAGCGTCCATAAAGGATAATGTTCTCTGAGCATCCATTATCCCCAGTGAATGTGGTGCACGGGCAGGAAGGGCAGTGCAGGGGTCAGGGTGGTCCTCAAGCTGCTGCCCCCACGTGTTGTGAAGCCGAGCAGTATTGGGAGCGTGGTGGCTGTGGTGTAGGAGCTTCCTGGCAGGGAAGATCCCCCCGGACCCCAGTGGGGCTGCAGGCTCCTGCAGCACAGCACCGGTCTCACCTGTGCTGATCCCGCTCCATGGGCAGCAAGGTGGGAAAGCTGCTGTGGCTGGGGGCTGCGTGTGTCCCCCCATTGCAGGCGCTGGTGCTGGGGCAGGTCCTGGGTCCGCAGGCAGGGCTCTGCTCTACCTCTCTCCTTCCCTGCTCACCCATCTCCCCATGCACAGGGATGCTTTCGTGCTTCTGTGCCCAGCCTGGGGCTGGACCAGGAGCTCCTGCAGCCGCTGCTGTGCTCACTTTATTGCCCTCCTGCTCCCTGACTTTGCCGAGGTGATTTCCTGCTGTCTGTGAAGTCCCAGGGAGCCCATCCCACCTGTGCCAGGTTTTCCGTAGCCCCCTTAATTCCAATGCACATTTCAATGCACTGAAACAACCCGTGGTGTCCCCCATTGTCCCTCTGTCCTCCCCTACCTCTGCTGTTCACTACACCCTGTTCGCAGCATCCTTTGGTGCCTTCTCAGAGCGAATCATGTCCAAACCACGGGCCAGGCTGCTTCATGAGGTGTCATACAGCATCAGTGGGGAATGAGAGCTTCTCTCCCAGCTCCTTCTACCTCTCTGACACACGGGGGCCCTCCTCACCCCTCTCATGGGTGGTGGAGGATGACAGCCTCCTTGGAGGAGGGAGCCTCTCACTTTCCACTCTTCTGTGCTGCTTTCAACCCTGGGCTTTGAGGACCACCTTCTCTGGGGCTCCTGCCCAAGGCCGCACTTGGGAATGGGCAGGAAGGGAAGCCTGGGGAGTTGAAAGGCTTTTTCACTTGGTCCTGCCCAGAGGTCACTCTTTAAAGTCTTCCCAGTGGGCGTTGTTCTTGGTGATGTGTTTGAGCTCAGGAATGAGTAGCACCCGCTCACCTCCTTTGTCACCAGCCCCTGGCTGGGAAGATGATGGGGTGGATGCTGGGGAAGCCCCAGCATTGCAATCACCAGCTTTGAACCCATCTGCATCCTCTGGCACCGAGCCTGGACCCGTGACACAACACTAACTCCTGTGCCCAGCCCCAGCCAGAGCCCGATGTGGAGCCAAAGGGTCACAGCCACCCTCTGCTTTGGGACCCTCTGATGGGTTTTTATGTTTCCAAACAGGGCTGGCTCGTAACCTCCACTCCCCAGCGTCTCTGATTTCATGCTCCAGGTCTCACATCCCTTCCTTATCTGATCAAAAGAAAAATAAATAGATGAGGGAAAAAAAAGGACTCGGGGAATTTACACAAAGATAAAAGAGGGATGAGAATTGTCTTGGCATTAAGCTTACTTGATAAGAATTGTAGTAGACAAGTCTTCCTTGAAACGGTTTTCCCTGTAAGAGCTGCCTTTTATTACGTGTTTATAAGATGTTGTAAGGAGAGGTAGATTCAGAAATGCCTTTTTAACACTTTTGTAAAGGTTTCTAACTCTCCCTGGTGCTATTTTTTTAGGTTAAGGATTGTTGATGAAATTTGTGCGGGTTTTTATACAATCTTTTGCAAATAAAAGAAGTGCATCGTTTTGCTGAGCACATTTTGCGTCGCTCTTTGTACCGAGGAGCGGGAGAGCTCAGACCTGCGTGCCCACAAGGCACCAGCAGCTTTGGGGTGGGGGAGAAAAGGGGATCCGCATCAACCGTTTATTGCCGTCTAATTACAGACCGGGGTTTCTGTAGCCCGTCACTGGCACGTTTGTGTGTGGAGATCAAGGGGCTTCACGCAGGGACGGGCGCCCCTTGCCTGCCGCCCACGGGGGCGCTGGGGGGGATGTGGGAACCCGATGGGTGACATCGGGGCACGGACGGGTCGGGACCGGACCGGACCGCGCGTCCTCGGACCGGAGCCGGGGGAGACCCCACGGGCACGCGGGATGCGGCACCTGTGGGCGGGGCTAGCGGCACAGCCAATCGCAGGCGAGTCCGTGGGCGGGATCGACGGCCGTGACGCAAGCGTGACGCAAGCGCGTAGCGTGCGAGTGACGTGGTCCCGGGCAGGCGGGCGGGGCCGGTTTGAACGCGCAGGAGACGGGGCGAGAGCGGGGCAGGTAACGGGCCGGGCCCCGGCGGGGGGCGGCTGCGGGCCCGGCCCGGGATGGCGGCGGGGCCCGGCCCGCGTCCGGGCTCGGGGAGCGGGCGGGTGGCGGCGAGCCGGGCCCGGCGGGCGGTGAGGAGAGCGGCGCGAGGCCTGCAGGGCCCGGCCGCGCCCCTCCGCTGGTGCGGGGAACCGGGGGCCCGGCGGCGGAGCCAGCGCCCGGCGCGGCTGTGGCCGAGGGGGGAGCGGCGGCGGCGGCGGGCGGGTGGGTGCGGGCCGTGCCCCGCCCGGGGTGGGGGCGTGCGGCGTGGTCGGCCCTGCCCGGCGGCAGCTGCACCGGGGGCTCGGCGGCGAGCGAGCGGCTCCGCTTTGTGCTGGCGGGGCTGGGTGGGACCGGCCGCTCGGTGCTGCTGCCCTGGGGAGAGCGATAACCGGGGCAGAGCAGGAAGCGTCGGTGCCGCGCCCGGTGAGCGGGATGGACACCGGCTCGTTCAGCGCTGCCACGGGAGTGTTAATGGTGTTAATGGGTCTTCAGAAAGCCCCAACCACGAGGTCACCCCCGCTGTTTGCAGCCGCCTCACAGCGTTTCCTGTGCTGCTGGGTCAGGCCTGTCTCGACAGGAGCCGTGGGAACGTTTGGTGATAACGTCTGTGGTACTAACGCCGCTGGTTGTGCCTTCCAGAAAATGGCAGTGAATGTGTATTCTACTTCAGTGACCATCGAGAACTTGAGTCGACATGACATGCTGGCCTGGATCAATGAGTCTCTGCAGCTGACGCTGACAAAGATCGAACAGCTCTGCTCAGGTGAGGCCTCAGCGCCGGGGCTGCCAGCTTGGAGGTGCTCCCCAGGTCTGCAGGGGTTCCACCGTGCTGTGTGACTGTGCTGGTGCTCAGTAGCCATCCCAGTGGCTTCATTCCCGGTGTGAACAGATCCACGGTCACTGGTACAGTCTGGTTGTGGTTAGGGCATTATTGAAATGGCTGTTAATAATGTAACCATAATGAGAAGGTGTATTCTTCTGACTCACTGCAGTTTAGATGAAATAAGAAGGAATGGGGGTTAACATGAAAAAAGACCCTTAGGAGAGGGTCTTTTCCAGTGAGAAATGAAGTATTTAGTCTGAATGGATCAAGTAAGTCTTACAAGTGTAGTAACTAGAGTAAATAAAGGGGATTTCTTATGGAAAAGAACCACTGGGAGGCTGGGCAGAGGGAGTGTTGTGAGGAAGGGATTCTGGTGACTCAGGTTCACCTTCTGGACTTTATGACTCCTCTTGGTGAAGGAGTGTGTCAGTTGGTGTCACCTCAGCTTGCTTTGGGTTGAGCTGACTTAGCACAGCTGGACCTCGGTAGAGTCGTCAGCAGAAAGGGGGAAGTAATTGTGGTACAGAAATGAAGTCAAGTGTCATCACAGGGAGGAGCGTGTGTGGGAGGAGGCTTGTAGGAACGAACACGAGATAATGGTCTGTGGAGTAAGAGCTGGAAGAAAATAAGGCTAGAAATGCAGCCTTGGTAAAAGATGATGATTTGGGTAACTGCAGCGGGTAGGCAAAAGGCACTTGGTGCAGAGTGGAAGTGCAGCTCTTGGGGCGAGTTTGAGATACGGTGTTGCTCATGGAATGATAGATGGGGAATAAAAGGAGGAAGGAGTAAATTTAAAGTCAGTTTGGGACTGGCAGTGTTGGATGTGGGCGAGTGTGGAAGAAAAGTTCACAGAGATTACAGAGAAGCAGGGGACTTACAACAGACATCTGACAGGTATTTGTAGTGGCTTTTTTGTAGTGAGGTGATGGAGGAAACCTGTGAGAGTGAAGGCACTAGAGCTCCACAAGCACATAAGTAAGGGAAGTGATATGCATTCTCTTATTGTCTGCTTTTGGATGGGCGGGTTAAACCCCTGTTTTGTGCAGTGTTGATTTATACAGCTGGGAAATTGTGCTTAGGGTTGGTGTGAGCCTCGCGTGCTGCGAGTGCTCTGTCTTGCTGTGAGGCTGTGCAGAATTTCAGCTCGCCTGTTTTCGGGACAAGCCTGGGAACTCTTGAGGTGGTGTGTGCTGAGTGATGTCCCTGTGTCTGCAGAATGCCTCATGCTTCCTCAGGCATGGAAGTGGCTTTCGCTTTTGGTCATAGTTGTGTGAAAGGAGCTCCCAGGCTGGCTCTGCTGCCTTTGGCAAGGGCAGAGGTGACAGCAGCGAACTGAGATTGCAAAAGACAGCCTTTGGCCTATGCTGTGATCCCTCTATTTTTGTCACACTTATCACTCTGACTACCGATGGTGAGCTAACCCCTGATTTCTGGCAGGTGACCTGGTTTTGAGCTGGGTCTTGGAGTTCTTCAGCAAGTGAACTGAAAGCCAGGGGAGATCAAACAGCATGGATAAAACCAGCAAGATTTTATTATATCTTGGTAGGAAGTGAACAAAATAGGACTCTGTGGTTGAGATGAATAGAGTTGTTTAGAGCAACACCATGTACTTCATGGCCTTTACATAGCTCAGGAAATGTTGTGTAGCCATTTGAGTTTGAGGTCAAGGTTCCCATTACTCTCTGTGTGCACTTAATTCATTGGTGGTGTGAGGGTAGCAGTGCTCAGAATGTCGTGTTTGAGGTTTTGGGGCACACAGTTACATGTTGTCACTGCAGAGTGAGGGTACAAGTTAAATATCTTTTTTGTTGGGTGTGTATATTCTACAAAAGAATCTTTTTGGAGGTGATCATTTGCTCTGTGCCTGAGCTGAATCCTTTGTTTGCTCTTGTTACAGTAAGAGCTGAATTGAAGGTCATGAGAGATTTAAAATTAATAGAAAGAAACTGTGTTATTTCAGTCCTTTAAGGCTGGATTTAAATATAGTCCATCTTAATTTGGCCTCTTGCCTTGGAGGGCACCTTGAATTGTGTGCAGGTTCTGTTTGTAGGCAGTAAATGTATCACAATTTCAGTAATGATTAAATGTAGTGTTTAGAATAGTTATTTTTCTGGTTCAGCTTATTAGTGCTGATAAGAGGTGATTACAGGCCAGCGAGACACGTGGAGCAACTCTGGTCCATACTGATATCTGTTAAGAAAGGGAAATTGGGTGACTCATTGGATATTTGTTTTCTCTCTTGGAATTCTTGGAGCAGGGTTGCTCTTGTTCCCAAGACCTCAAGGCATGAGACCAAGAGCTTGGCTCTGCAGCTTGCCTAAGCTTATTTACAGCCAGGCTGCCCCAAAGCAGGAGACTAAAGGTTCCTGTTTCCTCCCTTTTGTTGCCATTGAGGGATGGTGTAGCTGAGGGATGAGTCAGGTTGGTCTGCTGATCTGACAGGGGTGACTTTACACTAGTGGGCTGCCTCGATTCATCCCAGGGTTTGTGTTCTCTTTCTCTTGGCAGGTGCTGCATACTGCCAGTTCATGGACATGCTCTTCCCAGGGTCTGTAGCGCTCAAGAAAGTGAAGTTTCAAGCAAAACTGGAACACGAGTATATCCAAAACTTCAAGGTTCTACAAGCAGGTTTCAAACGAATGGGTGTTGACAAAGTAAGCTGGGTTGTAACTGATTCACTGTGCTCTTCATGGCAAAGTAGATGCAATGTGCTTTCAAATTTAGAGCTGAGTAAATCTGGGAGCAGAGTTTACTTGTGGTTTGTAGATCTCAAAACTTGGTTTGCTCTGGGGCCCTCACTTGATATAGGACACTACCTGCTTTACCCCAGCTGAGGTCAGGTTTCCAGGTCTTAATGCTGAGATGAATTTTTCCATGTAGTTCTGTGCAGCTTCAGTAGCCCAGACTGATCCTGACATTTCTATGTGATAAGGTTTACTTGAGCTTTCTGTTTGAACCATCTCTGTTTTGGTATGTTCCTATAACCTGCTGGTTTGCTGGTCCTGAGGATTTCAGATTCTTCTTTTCAAGCATATAGAATGGTTTGGGTTGGAAAAGACCTTTAAGATCGAGTCTAGCTGTTAACCCAGCATTGCCAAGGCCACCATTAACCATGTCTCTAAGCACCACATCTACACATCTGTGAAATACATATTTTAATACCTGGAGGGAATTTGAAGCTAGTGAAAGTGAGATCTGAAATTAATCATTTCAGATCGAATGATAGTTGTGCTTATGGAAGGGTGATTTATGTAGGTAATAGTTACTGACAGCAGGTATGGTGCAGAGCATCTCTGGGTTAAAGTCTTCTTTCTTCTCTAAAAAGACATCTTGCTGTGTTGGCTGGTAGCTTCAGCACGAACTTGATTGGTGCTGAGCTTGAGGGCAGCAGATTGTGCTGTATGCCTGGAACTGGACAGCCTGTGGTGCCTTCATGTACCGAGTGGTGATGTACTGGCAGTGGCTTCTGGCTCCTGTCAAGCCACAGACTCTCAGCCCATGGCCTCACAGACAAGGCTTCACAACTTGCTGCATCTGTTTAATAAAGTTCTGCTCCTCATTCCAGAGGAGCTGTAACTGTAACCTACTGAAAGGTGGTGTTTAGGTCTCACAGTGGTGCTGCCTCTGCTCTG